GGGGGGGCAGGGAGAGTCCAGATAAAGGACTGAGAGAGTAGATCACATGCTTGAATTTATGTGGGTTCCCTACCTCCTGGCCCCTGTCCTGCACAGGACACGACTCACTGTCTGCTTCCGAGAATGATCCGGATTCGTCGCTGGAGTTGGTTCCGTAAGACTGCTCACATTTAATTTGGGGTCGGACTTGGTTGTACATTCCATCTCCCATCAGGCCTGGTTCCTGATGTTCTGTGGCAAGGAATCTGGCTCCCTGGGAACAGGGCGAGGAGGAGAACTCACAGAGAGGGAGGCTGCAGGGTGAGCCCCCGCTCCCATCCTCTGCGTAGGAATAGGAGGAGCATGAGCTGGAAGTCCTGGTCCTGGTCTCCAAGGGGGGAGAGCGAGGGCAGACCTTGATTGGCACCGGGCAGCTAGTGTTGGGCCGCATCCTTCCTGGCAAGTGGTCAGCCATCAGCCCACCGTGGGAGTAGGCCTGTGAGCTGGGGAGGGACTGGCCTGCCCCCACCCACAGACCCTTTGGCACCGGCTCAGCGAGGTCTTTGTCCAAACTGCTTACCCCAGGATACGAGTGCACCGAAGTGCTCACTTGGTCACAAGCGCTGGAGGAGAAGATCACACTTCTCCGGTCCAGCTCTCCTTCCTGTTTACAGAGAGCCTCCATCCCAGGCCCCTTGAGGGGCGACCCCATCGTGAAGTTGGACGTGTCCTTCTGGCCCATGTGGGCCTGTCCATAATTCCCCGTGAAAGGGGCATAGTCAGTTTTAAGGTCACCCTGAGTGATGCCCTTGTCAAAAGAGCACGCAGAACTCCTGGCAAAGTGCTGCTGAGATGTACTGGGCAAGCCAGACAGCTCCGCACTTTTTGTTATGCTGAATAGAGACCTTAAGCAGGAGGGAGAGGACACGATCCTGGATCGCTCCAGGCAGGCGGCCCCGGCGGCTGGGGCGGGGGCGGGGGCGGGGCTGGGCTGTTTGCGGTCCATCTCGAAATCCCCGGCTCTGTCCTTGATGTCCGGCTCATCCCCGGACAGGCAGAGCGTGATGCTCTCTTCCTCGTTCTCTTCACTGGGCGGCTCACTTTTTATCTGCCCCATGGCAAGCCCCGGCTTGAGGCTGTTGCCAGAGTTATCTTCACTGAAAGTGCTTGCAAAACCTGAGGTACTGTGTGATGATGCATTATAGACATTCTTGGTACATGCAAGCTGGTATTTCTTGTATCGGGGGTACTGCATTAACGCGTCCTTTTCGGAGCTCTCCTTGGTGTCCGTCGGCCCGTCGGACTCGGGCAGCACAGCGTCTTCCTTCTCTGCTACTGGGATGGCGGTGGTCTCAAAGTTATTGGGGTCTGGAAGCATCTGGTCCCTGGGGCAAGCCATCTTGGCCGTCTCTGAATCCATGGTCTCCTCCTCTTCGTCCTCCTCCTCTCCCGCGGAGTTCTCACGGTCCTCGTGCGGACGCGGGCACGCCGTATCCTTCCGGCACACGAACAGGCCATCGTCGCTGTTCAGGAGCTGGGTCTGCAGGAAGCTGAAGCAGGAGTCCTCCAGGTTGTGCATGCGCAGGAACTCGGCACAGCGGATAACCTCGCGGATGTTTTCTCTGCTGAGTAGCAGTTTAGCCGTGTAGGCAAACTGCAACAGCGGCCCAAAGCCCCTGGCCGTGACCTGCAAAACAAACAGGGAAATCGCCGACGTTACCATCCGCATGGCTATTGTCCCGAATCCCTCAACTGAAGCAAAATAGCCAGACAGCGCTAATGTCCCAGAATAAAGACTGCAAAGGAGCAGTTAATCTCGTACTGGGTCAGCAATGATTCTCCTACCAATAATTAGTGCCTGTCTCGTGCATGCCACTGCTCTATTTCATCACCACACAGAATTGAAAATCACCAAGGTCAAGTGGCTAAACAAGATGACAACGGGTTCAGTGTTTACACTAATGAAATATCCTGGCAAAAATGCACAGTAACAATGGGAAGCCTATTAATTTCCCTCCCAATCAGGCCTGTTGCTAGCCATTCTGCAGAAAGAGTGCTGTGACACTTCTTGCAGTTCCTTTGAGCCAAAGGAGGCATTATAGTTTCCTTGTCAACCGCAAAACTGCCAATAGGTCCCTGTTAAAACCTGAAAGTCCATAGGGTTTCAAAACAGTTTTTCCTCATTTACAAAGTTAAAAAGAGACATGAAAAGCAACTCTTGTTTCACTCGTCCATCACGGTTTCTAGTTGGGACTTCTCAGTCAACATGTCAAATCTGATCTTACGATGATACCAGAGATGATGACAGTCCAACGCAGTGTTCTCAACAAGAAACTAACTCCTGGCCCATAAAGAATGGGGGTTATAGAGCTAAACGAACTGGCTGGCATTTGAATGGTTGAAGAAGCTGGGCGGCACAGGACATGGGCTAGTCCTTTCCTAATTATAAGCAGCAGCTTTGCCATGCTGCTGTCTTCTTTCCTGATGAATCTTCAGAGGCTAAGGCTACTGTCATATGCTGCTCATCCATCATATTTTACACAGATTGAAAATGTGCTATTTATGCACAGCTTGTGTGTATGTGTGTGTATGCATGCACGCACGCACACACACACATAGAATAACTTGGACAATTAGAAATACATTGCCTAAGGCCAATTTTTTTTTTTCCCAATGGAAGTGGATTAAATGTGCTGGTGTTCAGGGCAGGCCTCCTTACCCTCTATGCAAAACCATGCATCCTTTAGGTTCTTGCAAGCACTGCTGACCCCATAGAAAGGAGAGGCTACTCTACAAATTGTGTGTACAAACCAGGTGAAAGCAGCACTCATGGGTCCTTGATGGAAGCTACAGTACAAGTGATTAAAAGTTATCTGCTAGGGGAGTAAGTGCAGAGCTAGATGAACTGGCAAGCTTTGTAGCTGACTTCCATGTGTACTAAATTCGCGGCAGCACACCGAGCCAAAATTCTCGTGAGGGCTTATATCCGCTGTTCACGATTCCACTCAGACATCGACTCCTCTGGGAGCCCTCTCTGAACCTCCTAGAGAGGACGAATGATACTATCCTCTCAGCCCATTGCCAGATTGAGGAAATGTCCTAGATTCTCCAGGGCAGTACTGATTTAATATATTGCCGCATTCCTTCCGGTAAGGGAAGTTTCTTAGATACAGAACTAAATAGGATTTTAATAAGAATTTTAAAGTACTTTAAGTAAAATTCCAAATAAAAAATTCTGTCAGTTAATGACTCCCAAGATATTTGGCTGTAATAAATACAACAAAAACCATGACTGCTAGACTCACATTATAATTCTACAGGGGCAATCATTGTCATCTCACTTTTATTATACTGAATTGGGTCTGTTTCTACCATAAGACAGCAAGATTCTTCAGATCAAGGATTGTTTCATTTCTGTTTGTAACACTGCATCTAACTAGGGTCTCTAACATGATAAACACCCAAGAAAAGCTTGTATATTACTGAATGTGCCTTAAATCTAACTGTGCCTCTAACAATATACAGCTATAGTGTACAGAAGGTGACAGCACAGTGTTTGGTGAGTATTGTCTCGAATTACTTTTAGAGCAAGGCATCATGTAAACCAATATATCCAAATCAAACAACCGATCCAAGGCAGGCATTTGTCCTGTCCCCTAGCACCAGTATTAAAAAGGAGCTCATCTAACCTACACTTTTGTCCTACTAAGCAGACATCATAACAGATTCAGCAAATGTAGTACTTACTATATCTGTCCTCAGAACATTTCTCCCAAGAACCTTTAAAAAGGAGTGCAAGGCAAGGAAGTACATATTTATAAGTAACCAAAGGCGGCAATGAGAATGTCACATGACCCATTTCTTCACTGTAGCATGGCTCTACCACAAACAGGAATGGCGGAATCAAGGCAGAGGTGATGTCCCAATAAGTAAGCATATTATGCCCTACTCCTAGGCAAGCTGTCAGTTGCTGAGTGGATAATACACATTTCAAGTTTTGGTAGATGTGCTCCCTATGCAAGAAATTGAGGAAACTCATCTCAATTCTATTTATGTTTTCTATACAGTCTTCCTCGTCCTCTTATATTTATCACCATTTCTTTTTTATTTTGATGTTCTTGGTCTCAGTAGGCCCCAACAGTGCCCCTAAGTATGGCTTCTTTTGAAGAAAATTCTTAAATAAGCTGGGAACACCAATGGGAATCACTGGATCAGTCCTGGGTGTCACCACTTGCCACATGGCTGCAAGGAGCTGGAAAAAGCTTCTCTACCCAGGGAGGGGCTGATGCTTCGACGTCTGAGTTGGACTGAGGATGCCAAGGAACACAGTCTACAAATCCCACACCAAACCACCGATCCTTGTGGGCTTTGGAGACAAGATGAGCTTGAAATGATCATCAGATGGTCATGAAAGAGTCATGAATGAAAAGGGGATTGTAAACTGTCATTCAAGTCCAAGGGCAGAGGAAATGGTGTCCTCACCAGGAAATTTTAAGAGTCTATAACTAGCTCTTCCCCGAAATGAATTTAATTCTGCTTTGTCATATTTAATTCTGCTAAATTTTGTTCAGCGTCTGTGTTCAGGGCTCTGTCTAGTTAAGGCAGAGTTATCACTCACCGATCACCTCCTGGGGCCCAGCACTGTGCTAGCTGGTTCTCGTAATGCCCTGCAAGGCAGGCACGAGTGATTTATTTTGCAGACAAGGAAACTGAGAAGAAAAGAAGTGAAGGTATTCATCCACAGAGCTGGGATTCCAATCTCAATGCTATGAGGAATAAATAAGTATAAGACTCAGCCCTATGCTCCAGAAACCTACAATTCAGCTTTGTAGAAGAGGTATACACAATGATGAGTTAATTATTAAGTCACAGTGTAAGGCAACAGTGGAAGAGGTCTCATGAGATTATACAATTAATTGTCAACTGAGAAATCTAGATGAGTTCAGGAGAAGAGGAAACTGTTGAGGTCCATGGGGATCCCTTGAATGCTCGTGAGCAGGACACCTGGAGTGCAGTGAATTCCCCTGTCTATGTCTGCTCTGGGTCAAAGGCTGCTTTGATACAGTGGGTAACTTCTGAACTACCACAGGTGACCTCTGGTGCACTTCAGGCCAGTTTTAATAGAAAACAAAAAGCAGGTGCCCAATCACACCTGAAAGCCAGTGTAAAAACAGGCAGAGGCTTTCTATGTAATGGTTTTTCTATGTAAAGGCTCCATCTTGAGTAGGTTGCCCTGTCTTTCCATTTTTAGAAATCATTAAACTCACTAATTGCGCTCACAAAGCAAATATCCAGGTACCAACATGAAGCTGCATGTTTATGAACCTAGGACCACAGTCTGCATTGTTATTTACTTTCTGTTTTTAACAAGTAAGACTCTGATAATGGGAAAAAATAAGAGGGGATGGGAGGTGGAGGATCTCACACGAAACTAATGACCCATAAAAATGTTATTTAAAAGGTAATAATCATAAAGTTAAAGTGGAGTGAAGTGACTAGAAATAGCACACCGGTTTTACTTCACTGATGTTAACGGAACTGTGTTCCACTGCTCTAAGGGAAGCAGACATATCTAGGCTAAAACTCACTAGCCAGGAATGGCCTAAAGGTATGGTAACCAAATGCAAAAGACAATATTAGTGACAACCTGGGGTAACAGTCTTGTATTTTGAATGAAGTATTTTGGACGGATCATTTCAAAGAGTATTTTTTTTAATCACGCTTAAATACATACCTACCTGTTTTGATAATGTGTGATACACACTGCTCTAGATGAGACTGGATCACACACTGGGGGAAGAATGCGATGTGCCACGTGGGGCCAGGACCTGGGAGAGGTCAGAAGTTAACAATCTCCTTGCTCTTGGGTTGCTCCCAAGGAGGCAATGACCTCATCCAGAAGTCGGCACACACGAGGCAAGTGGCTATGACCTTCAAGTTTCAGGCCTGAAAGAAATCAGGTCGCACTACCGAAGTCATGCACTATGGTGTTAACGTGTTGAAAATTTGACCCACTGAAACTATGACCCTTAACCCTATATTCCTTTGGGTTCTGATGTATCATCTCCATGCTGTTGATGAAAGGAAGATGAAACTGGTGAAACCTCAACTGGCAGAGGACACGTTTGGGTGCTGCTGGCAGAGCTGGGGTGTTCACTCTCAGCAGGTGCCCAGTTTGCTGCTGGATAAAGCTTATGATAGGGAACTGCTAACAGTTTTGTCTTTCTGGATTATTAGAGGGATTGAACAGTTGGCCTTCAGGAGTATACTGAAAAGAGGGTTTGGGAATTTTTATGAGATTTGGAACAGAGTTCCCTACTTAAGCCATGTGATTAAGATCTCCTCTGTTGGTTCTAGCAGTATATACACATGGTTGTAGCATTGAGCCCATCTGCAGAAGGCTGGCCAGACAAATCAGGAGATCTGGTGACTGCTCCCTGGGAGAAGGGTGGCATGCTTTTCAAAGTCCCTTAATTACATCCCTACAAAACAAGGAAACTTTTACTCTCAGCAACACCACGTACACTTCCCTGATGAAGCCAGATCTCTTACACACTGCAGGAGCCGGGAAGATGAAAGTAACAAAGCTATGCTGACGGAGGTTTTAAAACACTGAGGCCGCTGACATCCCTCCTGGCTGACTTTCGTATAAGAATGCATTTACCAAATACAGAAAACAACATCGGT